TTTTTTTTTTTTTTCAAAATTTTTGTTTTCAAAGTTCATGTATACTAGTCTATAATTAACGATTCTACTTCACAGGTAAATCTAAACTCGGCTCAAGGAGTCCTAGTAAGAATGCGATCAGACTCCACAGAGACATAATTTATTTATTTACCAGTCAGATTAGTGTAAACTCGAGAAATGTGGCGCACGTAATGTCGCCGCAGAAGATTGGCAGCTGAGGACTAGGGCATCGGGGGCGGGCTATAAGAAGGCTCTTTGCTCCTCTTTTCCACCGTAGATCTTTACTTAGCTCTTCTTCCACCATCACCCACAATATGGCCTTGTTCAACGCAACCCCTTTAGGAGCTTTTCAGCTCAAACATCGTGTGGTCTTTGATCCTGTCCTTTCAGGATGGTCTCACATCGATCTTGAAAAATACTGTAGGTTCCAATAATCATCATCTCCGACCATGCAGTGCTCTGCAGGAGGAAACAAGAACTACGCATGTTGCTTGATGATACGCTAACACCATTAAATAGTCGAAAAGCTGAGCCCCGACGGTGGTTTAGTCCTGCTGCCTCCTGTGTGCTCTACACTACCCAATCAAATACAGAAGCGTGTCATCGATAGGCTGCACGTTGGCGACAGTATCGTCTTTGCTCAAGGTACATATAATCATTGGATGTTGGCAACTTGACATCAATATTGATCACAACCTGTATAGTTTGCGATGATGGATCATCCATCGATAGCTTGCCTCAGGCGCTTGCCTATTCCGCAAGTAAAAAGATCGATCTCGGCTACGACGGAGTGGAAATTAATATTGGTAAGTTTACTTTACTCTATCCTTTCAACTCACCATCAGAATAGCTAAAATTAACATATATCAGTGGGGTCCATGTTACAAAGGGTTATCGATGAAAGTGGCGATTCAACTGCTGCTGTTGCTACGATCCTTAAGCTCGTTTATGCGGTAGCAACGCTTGTCCCCACAGACCAAGTGGGCATTCGGCTTGCTCCATTTTCCATTGTGGAAAGCCACCAACAACCCTTGGAGTTCTTCTGCACATTGATCGAGTCGATCACGTCTCAGTTGCCCACTCTGGGCTTTGTTCACGTGGTTGCGCATACTCGGTTTGACGATTTTGAATACCCCAGAAACGCATCGTTGGACGAATTGCGAGGAGCATTGGCTTCTGCCTCCAACTCCATTTCTTTTATTTCGGCCGATGCGTATGAACCCGAAACCGCCAACACCATTGCAACTCGCACCCAGGATCTGGTGGCGGTTAGTTTGCCCGCAGAGGTTGACCTAAATCTGATCACTACATTACGCCAGGGTGCCCCTTATGAGGTTGCCGAAGCAACAGCGGATCGTCTCGACGCCATCCGATCGACCTTCCAGACAGGTAAAGAATATGTGCTTGAGTGGCCGAGCGAGCAGGAAAAGAGGGTTTTCAATGCCATGGATGATCTGGACCGATACTTAGGAGAGTTCGATCCCTCTCTCTCCTACGAGGGCACAGATCAGAAAGTAGTTTGGCGCAAGTCGTGCTGGTTTGCGAGTGAGGGGATTTCTCGTCCCTTTCTAGACACGGAGAAAGCTATTGCTGCATTTGATGGCGACCTTCATGATGGTCTGGCAGGTCTCCGGGCGTTGCATGATCCTTCAGTTCGTCAGTCCATGGTATATCTCAAGAATGTGCTAGACAGTGCTTTGGTGACAACAAGCACTGCAGTCGGCATCGACAAAGACATGATTCAGCGTTGCACCGTGCGATACCGGATCATCAAATACACAGCTCATGCCGGGAACCCCGGTGGCATTGGACTTCATCCGGATGGCAACCTCCTGTCAGCCCTAATTACTAACGGCGATGGGTTGCGTGTATACGATCTTGATGGTACCGTTCGATATCCCGGATACAATGGCACCATCATGATGGGAGGCTCTACCCTCTATCGCTGGTCGCAGGGACACTACCCGCCTACCTTCCATGACGTGGTGACAAATAAAGACCAGGTCAAAGTCTCGATTGTTGCCTTTTTCAACTTCCCAGATCTTGTTACCATCCCGAGAGCCTTGAAATCTGGCTCAGCCAGTGATGAAAGCTTCTTCCATGATATTAAACTCATTAAAGAGGATGACAAATTGCCCCATGGGCAATTGTCTCCGTTGTGGGATACCATTATCGACAAACATCAACTTGTCCTGCCGCCAGCTGTTACTGCCAACTGAATTTAAATGTTGCCTACCTGTCTAGGATTAATTCAAGAGATATTTTATATAGCAAGAAATGTGAGAGAACGCATTTGTCCAATCTCGGGATTACTCCTTTGTTACATCTCGTACGATTCTAATACGGCCTGCACTTTGACACAAACTTGTACGGATAGCAATTTACCTCTATACACACTTTCCACTACGGAGGTCAGACAGAGTCTAGATCTCAGATTTCTGAAAACATTTGCGAGGTTGAATATAAACTTCCTCGGACTCTTGACATCCTCATCCATACCATAGTGTAATGCATGATTCAGGTGCGTGAGAGTCTCACGGGATTTTGAAGCATCAGCCTATAAGGCTAATTTGCGTTATTTGTCTTTGTAAGGGTAAAAGATACTCTGCATACCGGCGGATAAACTCTTTCAGTTCCTTCTAGTCTGTCTCCAATATTATAGTCTTTAGGTACGCTCTAAATATAAAATAAGAAGTAGTAACAAAAGTCCTGGACTAGCTGTTGCTTGGTTTTGATGTGGCTGGTATGGTTGTATCGTAATAGGACTTTCCTTGAGTCTTTCCTGGGAATATGTGGGATACGAATCTTCGTATTTAACTTAGTAAACACACGAAACAAGTAAATAAATGGAAGTAATTAGTCCTGAACCTAAAACTCTTAATTCAAATAAACTATTCCCCAGACAGATCCACCCAACCCGAGAATTTTGACGGAACAACACGAAGCCCTAATCCATCCAAATCAAAACCCATCTATCTATCTGTGACGTCACAAACACATCAAACATCCCATCAATATAACTAATTCAACCCTCATTCAATTAGCACCAATTCTCATTCTACACAGACAAGTAAATCCTCAGTTATAATCTACATATATATATATATATATACATACATACATCAACTTTAGACTACCGAAGACATCCCTTTCACCAAAAATGCCCACCCAATCCCAACCCCCAAAAACCAGCACCTACATCCAACCCAAAAACCCCATTTCACAAACTCCCCTAGAACAACGCATCCCCTCCACTCGCCACCACGGCAACAACGTGCCCGCCATAATCCGGGGTCCACAATCCAAGCCCTCAAACAGTGATGCCCTATCGAAGCATACCCGAACCCCCAAACAGAAACAACGCGACCTCCACTCTGCGGCGGACGTGGACACGGAATACGGGCTCGAGCAGCAGCCAGCGGAGGGGGATATCGCGGCAAGGGTTGAGGGGAAGAGTGCCCGTGCCCGTGAGCAGGCGGGGGCTCATGCGGGGCCTGTGGGGAGTATGTTTGGGCCGGGGTGTCCTGCTACTGCTTTTGCTTCCTCTGGTTTTGGCTCTGGTTCTGCTGGTGATGGTGGGGAATTGAGGGAGTTGGGGAGGAAGAGGGAGGAGCATGATCGGATGCTTGGGGAGAGGGTTGGACAGTCGCCTGCGGAGCCGGATGGGGATTTTGATGGTGGTTCTGAGAGGGAGGAGGCTTGGAGGAGGAAGTTGGAGAGGGAGGAAGAAGTTGATGTTGGGAGTGCGGTTAGGGAGGGGACGGGAAATGCGGTTGTTAGGTGATTGATCGATTGTTTGAATGGGTGGGTGAGTCTGTTATTGTAGTATTGGTTTTAAGGGGACTTGTTGAATGGTAATTGTAATATAAATTTGATAAACTCAGTCTGTGTATACCAAAACTGCTGGTGTTTCTGGATTGCAGCTTGACAGCCTCTATTGACATTTTAGAAAGTAGTCGACCTTCAAGCCCTCTGGAAGAATTCAATCGCTGACCATACAGTCAGAAGCCCTCATTCTTAACAGGACTCTGATTCCCCTCCCAAACCAACTTCCTTGGCTGCATATACTCCTCCAGAACCTCATCACTAACCAGCCCCCTCCTCTCCTGAAACAGACGCACATACTCCTGCAAAGCCTCAATGGCCATCTTCTTCAACTCACCAGCCAACATATCACCATTTTTATAGCACTTATAAACCTCGTCGAGCTTCGCATCATCCTCCTCAAAATACGTCAGATAGATATACGAAACATCCACATCCGGATTTCCCCCAAGCCGACGATGATCCTCGACGCTCACCTGCCCGCCACTGAACGCGTACTTGTTAATATTCGCCTTGATCTGCTCCGGAGTATCCGACATGAAGATAGCAGAGTTAGGGTTCGACGAAGACATCTTCCCCCCGGGACCCTGCAGCGCTGTGAGGAATTTGGAATGGATGAGCGCCGGTTTAGGCGACGGGAAACGCATCTTATGCGCGTTATCCCGTAGTAAGCGGAACTAGGGGTCCTGGTCGATGCCCATGGGGATCAAGCAGGGGATGTTGGCGATGGACTGGGTACGGGTTGGTTCTGTGTCATCCGTCCAGATTTCTGGGTAGGAAGTCGCAAAGGCGGCCACGCATTGAACCGAGGGGAAGAAGATTCGGCCGATGTTGGTGCTGTTTTGTTTTACGGTTAGCTGGGTTCAGTTCAGCCATAGATAGGTAAAGTCTACCGCGCTGTAATACCTTTCATTGAAACCGAATGCGCCCCGGACTTGGTTGAAAGTCACGAGCTTCGAGAACTCCCACGCGTTCATTAGAAAGTGGTTGCTGAGGTACTTGAGATCGCTATAGATAAAGGTCTTCTTCTTGTCGAACCCAATGGCAATGATATCTCGGGCATTCTCTTTGGCGTATTCCATTGTTTCTTCGAAAGTGAGATTGTCTTTGAATAGGGCTTTTTCGTCGTCCGTGAGCATGAATACTAGGGGGACGCCGAAGACGTCTTGAAGCCACTTTGTGAATTGCAGAGGAATTGTGTGTCCCAAGTGTAGACTGCCGGTGCTTGGACCACGACCAGTGTAGAGGAAGAAGGGCTCGCCGCGTTCGTATAGGTTCAGGATCCGGTCGAAGTCACGGTGGCTGAAGAATAGGCCGCGTCGGAGCCAATGGTGCGGCTTGCGCCCAGTGACCTGTTCGAAGCGCTCGAGGAGTTTGCGGTCTATAATGGACGTGTTCCATTTTCTGCAGCGATCAGTATATGGCAGATGTGCGCTTGCAGCAAGCATACCGGGAAATCGCTTCATAGTCAATCGAGGCGACATCCCCGTTCTCATCCCGGGCGCCTTCGACGGACCAAGGATTGATGTCTTGTTCTTGATTGGATGCTGCCATGCTTTCAGCCATTGTTATGATTGCAAGTGATACAGGTAGAAAGTGAAAGTTGGTTTGTTTATATAGGATGACAAGTGACTCACCATATTTCATCTAGGGCTAAGCACTAGTCACGGGACATTGATCTTCAGTTAATTAAAGATTTATAAAATAAGGTACATCCCATTCCACCCCCCACTCAAATACAACAACAGAGGAGATGGGTAACAGAGGAGAAAGAAAAGGCCAGTTCATATGCGAACTCATTCAATTTTTGCAACACTAATATATCCGGGGTATCAAGTATCAACGATCCAACAAATGCGTATGAGTCAAACGTAACAAGATCAGGCATCCTCGTCGCCTTCTCCGATAGACACTTTCTTTAGAGATAGATCCTTCTTCAATTCCTGAATGCGCCTGGCAAGCTTGTTCTTCAAAATCTGGTTTTGCATCTTCTCCCATTTAGCGGTCTCCGTTCGGATAAGTGCTTCCAACTCCGCAATTTCTTCGCGTTGCTGTTGCATTTGTTGCCGCTGTTCCAGCTGCTCCTCATCCAGTCCGTCTTCAGCCACACCGCGTTCGTCTCCATCAGACTCATCACTCTCGTCGCCCGATGACTCCGCTGCAGGCGTGGATGGCTTCGTTGCCGTAGGCGTACCAGCTTGATAAACCCCACTGTCCACGGGAGTCGCAGCCGGAGCGGGAGGAGCTGCATTATCATCGGCAGCTAGAGCAGCCTCCATCTCAGCAGCAAGTGCGTCCTCAAAGTCTTCGAAGATGCCAGGAGCCTCTTCCATCCCCATATCCCATTCACCTTCTGCGTCCTGCTCGTCATCGTACTCGTCGTATTCCCCAGTTTGTACGAGACCCTCAGCCCGGTTCAGCGACGCGCTATCGACCAACTCGTAACGAGGGATGCCCACAGCGGCTTCATCCTGTGCTATTAAGTCCTCCACAGCTTTCTCTACCTGTTCGATCGTCCGAGTACTAACTCGCTCACGGAATCGCCGCCTGCGTACCCACTGCAAAGGCGGCGTCAGACCATGAGCATACTGCAAAGTCTTATCATCGCCGTGTTCGACCTCGGGAGGGAGCGGGTACTCCAGAGCTTCTTTCTCGTTTGCAACCGGGCCCAGCACCAACAGCATCTGACAGATATCCCCGGACTTGTACCATCCACGGCGATCCCAACTCTTCATACCCTCAATAATACATGGTAAATCCACCAAAGCCGCAGCAAACTGCTTGTCTCTGATTCTGAAAACGGCGCGTCGTCCTTCGCGGGTAAGCGGTTTGAACGAGAACTCTGAACGATCGAATCGTCTCTCGGCAATAGCGCGTCGTAGGTATTCACATTCCTCTCCAGGAAGCATACGTAGGATAAACCCTTCCTCGATAGATGGATCGATTTCCGTATCCGACGCTTCGGAGTCGTATCCAACACCAACTGGCCGATTGGGGACCAGGCCCTTATTCTTAATCCGAATCGACTGCACGCCGGGTTTCTTAGAAGGGTTCAACTTCAAACGCTTGGGTCCTGCCGGTTGTTCTGGCGCGGGCCGGGACGCAGAAGGCTCGCTGACGGCGGGTTCATCGGCTGGTCGCTTTTTCGATGGCTTTTTCTTCTTTGCTTTCTCTGGTTCTCCTTCTGTGGTTGGTTTGCGTGCGATTTTCAGTGTGAGTTTGCGTTGAGGGGTTTCTGATGGTGGAGGGGGAGCTGGTTTCTTGGGTGGTTCCTCTGGCGCCTTTTTCTTGCCGAAGGTGAGCTTCAGCGACGGGCGACCCTCAGACATGGCGGGCGGTTCGTAGATTCAACGAATGAAACGGAGTGCTTGACCCCAAGCTAAAGCTGGGGGGATGGAATGAACGTATGCGTGTATATAATGTGAGGGATGAGTAGGAGGATGTTTGGTTGGTATAAATTGTGGTTGCGGAGGAAGAGAGAAGAACAGGCCGAAAGGCGGAAAAGCAAAGGACGCGACGCCGGAAGTCCGTTGACCTGAACTCTTTCGTTCCGCCTTTCTTTCACTTTCATTCCATCAACTCCACTGAATTCGAAACACAATTCTTCCCTCATATTCAGCCAGCGCCGTTAATCGTCTCTCTTCTATTCGACAAAATAATTCGTCTCTCAACAAAACCCAGATCCCCAGCATTAACCAAATACACTACGGCACAACTCTCAATTTCCTTTCAACAAATCAATCACCATGTCAGGTCCAAATCTACACAACGCTCTGCTCCGCCCACCCATTATCCAGATTCTTCGCGCAGCCGGCTTTCACGCAACCCGTCCCTCAGTCATAGACACCCTCGCTGACCTCACAGCCCGCTACGTGATGATCCTCGCCTCATCTGCAACCACGCACGCCGCGAATGCCCACCCAAACAACCCGGTCCCGACCCTGGAAGACATTTACCAAGCTCTACAAGACGCAGGCGCGTTGCGACCGCAACTCCGCGAGTGGGAGGAAGACTGGCACGGCGACGAAGACATGCGAGGACTGGAAGGGTTTCTGGGATGGTTCACGGGCCCGGCGAATCGCGAAATTCGACGCATCGCGGGATTTCTACCGAGCGAGGGTGACGTTGTGGATACGGATTTTCTAGAGAAAGAGGATTATCTTACGGTGTTGAAGAAGAAGCATAGTAAGACGGGGGAGGAGTCGAGATATGCGGGAACTATCCTAGGAAAGAATGCCGAGGAACATCCGATTGTGATTGAGGGCGGTGCGCCGAGTATCCAGGAATGGGGTACGCAGGTGCGGTCGCGGGCGCCGTACTTTGCGGAGAGTGATTCGTCTGGGGTCAGTAGTGCGCCGAGCAATTTGTCGGACGGGGAGGGGATGGATGTGTGAAGGAGGAGTCGGGAGGACGTTTTTTTTTCTCCTTTTCGAGGATTAACGTCTGGGAACAACGGAAGCTACACGGTGGAGGACCAGTTTATTGGAGACTCTGGAGTCTCCTTCGCTCCTATACATACACTCACGCTGCTGTCTGGGTAACGGACAACAAGGACAAAAAGATCAGCTGGGCAACACGGCTGTCCTTGACCAAGGGAACGATTGGCTGCCGGCTTGCTCGACTAGGTATTCTTACAGCCCGTACTGATGGCCAAACATATTTACGCACCCGGCCAATCTTCGCGACACTAGGGATGGGCGCGTCGAGGCCTCAAAGGACAGGAGTGGTCCGACGTGTCGACGTATATATCCTGCACTAGGTGCAATGCAAACAAGGATATGAGGCCGGGGCTGATAGCAGAGTAATAAACGGGCTATATGAAGGGATATGCCACTCAATTCGCCATGCATCTATAGCTATAAGATCAATGGGCGAGTACAAGACAGAGAAGAGCTACTCAAAAGCGATAATAATAAAATAATCACCAAGCATCCAAGCTCCCTTGTAGCAAACCTTGCAATGTCCTAGTTAACGTAAAGTCTTGGCCGCCATGACATCAACGCCCAAAACCACCCGAACCTCACTTTAACTCCATTTAATTAAATCTCCAACGTCCAATTCCACAAACAAACAACAACACCACCACCACCACCACCAAAACCCACACATACACACACAATGGTCTACGCCTTCACCCTCCCAACAACCTCCCACCTCTCCTTTCAAACCCACCTAACCTCAACCACCCACCCATCCCTCCCCCAAGCCGCCTCAACAGCCCGCCACGCCCTCCGCACAGCACTAAAGACACACAAACGCCTAACCCGCGGACCGCAACAAGACGCCCACCTCTCCACCCTCCTCACTACCCTAACCGACTACCTCCCCTACCTAACCGCCATAACGAACAGCCTAACCAGCACGCGCCTCCCCGAAACGCCCTCCGAAGAAATCGAAATCGCCCTCCACAGCGAACCCGAACCCTCATGGCGCCCCACCCTCACCTCCTCCGCCTCCCTCTCCCTCAAACAACCCCGACCCAAAGGCCTAGGCCTTGAATATGAACTCGCCTTCGTCCTCACCACATACGCCTACGTGCTCAGCAAAATCGCCCACAGCACCATAACCCGCACCCTCTACGCCCCGACAACCCCAACCCCAGAAGCCCGCACCGCTGCCATCACAACCGCAACAAAACACCTCCTCCAAGCAAGCGCAATCCACTCCCTCCTCGCCACATCCCCGGTCTTCGCCCACGTCTCTCGCTCCGTCTCCTCCACCCCCGGAATCGTGCCCGATCTAGACCCCGCCGCGCAAGCAGCTCTAGCTTCCCTCGCTCTGGCGGAAGCAACCCTCCTCGCCGTGCTCAAAGATGACTCCTACGTGTCTGCGTGCATTCAGGCCCGCAATCCCAATGATAAGGAGTGGATGGTCCGCGCGCCGGAGATCCCGAAGGTGCGCGCGCATCTGTTTGCCAGATTGTGTATTCGTGCTGCGGAGTATGCGGAGCAGGCGGCTGCCGGGTTGGGGGCTGTTGGGGCGCAGGGACGGGCCGGTGTCGACGAGGATTTGATTAAGTATGTGCGTGTGTTGGGGAGGGTTGCGCGTGCGCGCGCGTGTCGGTTTTTTGGGGTTGATGCGGAGCTGGCGGGGAAGATTGGGGAGGGGATTGCGTGGTTGCGGGCTGCGAAGGGGGCGCTTGGGGTCAGGGTAGAGAAACAGGAGACTGAGGCGAAGAGTAGGGGGTTTTCGAGGTTGAAGCAGGGGTGGATGGAACGGAGGGAGGAGCGCAAGATGGAGAAGGATGCGGGGAAGATGGAGAAGGGGGAATTGGGGCCTGGGGATAACGCTGGGCGGGAGGAGGAGGGGAGGGTTATTGAGATGTTGGAGACGAAGTGGGTGAGGATGAATGATACTGTGAGTTCACTCTTGCTTGCCTTATAATGTTAAGGGTTCTTTGCTAACGGAAGGGTTTAGATCAATACGCAGCTGATTCCGCCGTCGGCGGATCTTGTGGTGAACTTGCCGTCTGGGAGAGATATTCATTCTGCGCCGGGAGCTTATAGGCTGCAGGCTTTGGACGACGAGGAATTGGTGCGCATGCGTGCACCGCCGGTGGAGGACGAGTTTGGGCCTGGCAGTGATGATGATAGTGAGGAGGAATCTGGTCTGACGAGAGATACGCCGAGTACGGTCCCTGAACGGACTGATAGTGCTTATTATTGATATTGATACCCTGGGACTGTTCTATGAGCAGAGAACATGATGTATAGATATGCACAAGGTACATGATTACATAGTCGAAGCTCATATAGTCAAAAGCAGCCATATGAAAAGCTTGAGTCACAGTCACAGTAACCATTCTATGATCACATAGACCCATAACCCAACATGACCTCCGATTTCTACCCAGAAACCACCTTAAACCTGCAAACCCAACCCTAATCAGCACAACCCAACTCAAATAAAACCCACCCAAGTCAAATCGAAGAGAAAAGAAAAAGAGAAGAAAGGGTAAAAAAAATGATACAATTGATCTAAAAAAACAACAACCTTAACAAAGAAAAAGAAAAAAGTCCCATCCAAATACACAATTCAGTTCAACTCAATTCGTTCCATTCCAGCGAACCAAATCCACCTAAGCACTCTTCTCGAAATAGTTCTTCTCCTGGAACAGGTAACCCTTAATCTTGCGCTCCTTCAACAGCTCAAAGTACTTCTCTGTATGTTCCATATATTAGCATGTATATCCCAGACTCAGATTCAGATTCAAAAATCCCAATCCAGTTCCCCCAAACAAGTCCATTGGGCCAAGTCACCAACTCCAATCTCAATTCCAGAGTAAACACTCAACTAAAACCCAACCCCAACCCCCAACGAGACAGCAAGAAAGCAAGCAAGCAAACAAGAAAAGAAAAGAACAAAAAACCAACCTCTCAAAGCCCCACACTTCTCCAAATGATTGACGCCCTCGCGCGCATAACACTTCCCCAATTCCTCACCGACAAGACGAGACATCATGCTGCGGACCCATTGCTCACGGATAATGGCGTCACGGGCGTTGTGGACGGCGACGTTGTCTTCGAAGTCGACGCCCTCGTAGCTTGGGGGCACGGTGGGCTTCTTGGCGAGGAAGGCGGCGGATTCGGGGGTGGGCATTTTGGCGGACTTTTTTTGGGATTTTTTATTCTTCGTAGGTGGGAAGGTTTGGCCGGGGTACTGGACGCGGGGGAGGGCGTTGGGGGGAGTTGGTGATCTCGGATTCGAGAGATGGATGTGCCTTTTCTGATGTCGTCGGGGTTCCGGAGTTATGTGCAATTGGGGGACGATGATTGGTGGGTGGTGTGGGCGGTCTGGAGGTTGAGTGTACTGCTACGGGGTGTGTTAGGGCCCTTTTGTGCAGGGTGGTTTCTATATCACGTGATTATATATATTCCTATTGCTTTGCTTTTGGAGGTGATAATTTATTGATATTTGGAGCTCTATTGATGATGTTTTCTACTGTTATGACTAGGGAAAACATGCGCAAAGTAATCAAGATTTATCTAATCTGTCTATAGCCATGATTATCTCGTAAGAAAAGAAAACGCTTGCCAATCAATAATAGCCCTTCTTGGGGCAGTGTACAGTATATCCAAATGCAAGCCATGTGTAATAAAAGCATATCGTCCAAATACGCCGGAATATCGTCAGAATTGTCCCACAGCAAGTACAATACGGTCATCAAATCACCCATATGGCGACATGTACAGCGAGCCAAAGATCATCCGCGGCCGATCATGCATGAGCCCTTTACGTGGTGTAACAGTGTGACTTTTTATGATTGCGGCGTATTATCTTGCCGCCCAAAGAACTTCTCGTAGAGGCCTGTCGCCTTGTCTTCTACGCGCTCCCGCCATGGTCGGTTCATCTCCTGGGTGATACGGCGATACTCCCACAACTCTGACCAGCAGTCGCGGCCAAAGCTACAGCCGGCCAGATTCACCATAAAGTCACCTGCGCCCTCAACGAAGTGGATATCTGGATCGCCCCCGTCCCCGCAGGCGCCAGGAGGATACGAATTAATATACCGCTGAGGCAAGAATCCAACGTGGCTGCGGATCCACGGCTCATTGGTATACAAGTATTCCAGGGCATCCTGTTCCTTGTGCTCCCACTCCATATGTTTCTGCTCATACATGACGGGATCCCACCAGATGTCTAGTAGACGCTCCGACCACACTGATCGTCGCATGAAGAAGGAACCCAAGCTGAAACCACTGCAGTCTTGCGATAACACCATCTGAATTGATGATGGGTCTCCGTCGCCCACCGGTGAGCGTGAAACGTCATCAAGATACGCCCCCGTCGGCGGGTGGCTAATATTCAAGGGATTGTAGACATTGATATCCCGGTACGAAATTTCGCCCAGACGATTGAAAATGTGGTCCTGTAGGGAGTAGGAGGACTCTACGATCCACGTATTAAGATCCACCCACCAGAACCTAGGAACAACAGTCAGCCACCATCTAGGGTACCCAACAGCGGTAGAACATACCATTCCGCATGGGGATACTTGCGCATAGTCTCGCGGATAATGTCGACCTTCTCCCAGCTTTCCCGCCATTCATGCGAATACCGCTTCTTTGCCAACGTGTTCACCACTTCCAACTCATATCCCCACTGTCTTGCATATTCTTGCTTATTTCGGATGCTGTTGCGCTCCACCGCCCACTCACGGGCTCCCTTCAGTTCCATCACGCCGCCCTCCACATTAGATTCGAGAATGATTACAAACTTGCTTCCGCCGCCAAACGATGATCGTCGATACCGCTCGAGGAAAGCTACCGATACAGGTCAGTCCGCATAATACCCTCATAAAGCTCACCATGATCAACTTACATGTCCAAAAGTACAGATATCCAACCACAACCAGAATGAGGGTAATCAACAACCGTAGTCGTCTGCGGCGCAACATAGTTCTGCCGAACCCACAGGAACGCCAACCTCCCCCGGATGAGAATGGTCGGCCACGTCCAAAGTCGTCTTTATCAATATAACCATTCGGTGACCTAGAGCTTACACGGAAACTCGGCAGGGTGGCGGAGATGCGACGTTTCGACCGGGAAAAGAAGCCATTATTCCTCGTAGAAAAAGACGGATACCCTCGAACCTCGTCGCTCTTCGCTTTGGCGGCCGCCCACGAGATCCCGCTAGGACCCAACGGGTTCGGCGACAAAAAGCCACTGTGTGGTGTCGAACTGCCACTGCCTGTCGTGAGACCTGGACTGGACCACCCTCCGCCCGCCGGGTGGGGTGAGGGTGATCGAGAAAGGGACATGGGCGGGGATTTTGAGTTCACGGGGGTGTCGGGCAGAAGGTTCATAGGCGCACGGGCACAGTTGCCCGTGAAGCGACCAGATCAATGAGCAATTGTGGTGGTGGTGAGGTTCACGTTCGACGAGGTCGAGTGATATCGCGCAAGGGATGTTGAGGGAGCGTCACCAGGACGCGACTCTTCGAGAAGCTAGGAAGTCGAAGATGAAGCGGAAAAGCGAATGAGGTGTGGCACTGAGATCAAATAGAAAACCGTCCAGACGAGAGGGAAAACAGCAAGTCGGAAAAGTGAGACCTCAAATGTTGAGTTTGGATCAAAAAAGACGGAATAGGAATAGTTGATAATGGGGGGCGTTCGTATCGCCAAGTGGTACCCTATCTCCCCAGTCCAAAATTATAGTACAAGGGATAAAAAAAAAAGAGATAGAAAGTAAAAATCAAAAATTAAAAAAAGAAAAGGAAAAAGGAACTGTGAACAGAAGGACCCGTTTCCGTCCAATGGAGAAATGAAGATTCAACCCAGTGGAACTGAACCAAAGGGAACCAACAAAAGGACCACCTGAACGGGCAGTTCCTGGGCAAATGGATGGACTAGGAAACAAGGTGAACAACTCGAGTCAGGGCCTCACCCGCCGGATGGAGTAGGAGAAAAAGATGAGGACAAGCGCTACCTCTACCTCCCCATCCGTGGGAAATGAAGTTGGAGATAGGTTTCACGTCTCCTCTTTGACGAGTGCAACATAGTTATCAGCAAAGGCCAAGCAAATTAAATTAAAATTGACGTCGTCTGGACGGGCCAATGTGGTTTGGTGGTGGAAAGAAAGAGGAAATTATCTTCATTTCGCTTTGATCACTGGATCCGCATGTCACCCCACCAGTTGGTCTTCTTGGCAGGGACTTGAGATGATAGTACGGAGTACTATGGACTATGTAATATATCTTCCGTAACGAACAGGTATTCCCCATCATTACGGTACCTGTAATTGATTGCAACCGGCCACAGCCAAGGCCCAGAACCCCAAGATCTCCTCTCAACTACATTCCTTAAAATCAAGGAATCACCTCATCCCGATAACGACCATGATAAGACGCGTACTCCCTTCAGTAGTTGTTAATCCGGGCATTGAAGACTGTACAGTAAGTAGTAAGTGAGGCTCCACCCGGTAGTACGAGTCGGAGTAACCCAAATCTCTACTATATCAAGTAACGCTCAGAGATGATTAGTATTGAGATTCAATAACTAATAACTGCATCGTTAGCATTGCGACATAACTGAGTCAGTGACGTTTGCACGATGTATGTACAAACAGCTTGTTAATTATGTTTTATTTCTATACTAGCTTTCATGTATACATTCTTCCAACAAACCCTAATAACAGACACCTTAGCTGCATATAACTTCTAGATTCACAGCATACCCAAATAGATGCTAACAGACGTATATACTGTACTGTACATTTATTAAGGTAGATATAACCGCATCACCACCTCACATTCCATTTCAAATCCAGTTCCACCCCAAGAACCCTCAACGACATCCTCGGCGCCGGCATCTGCCAAAAACCTGACTCGACCGCCACCATTCTCTTAAAACCATCGGTAACGTAAACCAGCCTCTCGACTCATAGGATCCGGTCGAAACATGGAAAACCACAATTCCGCCTCCAGAATCCGGGCCCTGGGGTTACAAATAGTCCAGCACATATCCATGCCAAGCCCCGGATGAAACCAAACATACAACAGGTAGGAGTAGTCATCGGCCTTTGGGCCCCACATAGAATCTGATGTCGTGACATGTCCATTGCCTCGATCGAGGCCACTCTCTATCCGCGCAGGGTCGTCAGTTCCTGGAGCAGGGAGTTGTACACGTTCGCCGATGGATGTGGCGGGCTGAGAATCGGCGTCATGTATCCGAATGCGACCTGTCTCACGGTGAGGATGCCTTGGGTGACCTGCTTGGCGATGATGTTTTGAAGCAGGGTATCGAGTGTTCGTGGTCCTCGGTTGAGATGGAGGCATAGCGACAGCTGATTTTGGGAGGCATTCTGGAACCCAGCACCAGGATTCGGGGAGGCTGACTAGGTGCTTCGATGAAACGTGCATTGGAATCTCCCTAGCCGTCTGTTCTCTCCAGTGTCCTCAGTAAATCTGCCATGGAATTCGTCTACTAAGATAAATAGGCGCTCATCTAAGAATAAGGCTCGGGTACGCCTTATCCACAATATTGACTACCCCGAAGATGCTTCGGGCTGACGGATGATATTTAATGCTGGAGATGGAGGCAAGGTTGGGTTGCCGAAGCCATTCTGAAAAAGAGCCATGGTACAGGCTCTCAATAACAAGAGCAACTCTCCGTCTGAAGGTCAACCAAAGCTCAGGATCGATCGTAGGTTATTGCTGGCACTCACGTATAATGTACTGTATACACGAAAACACCGCGATAGATAAGAGAAACTGGGGGAGAAAAGGGACCGGACCGACGGAAATTAGTGCTGTACACTAATTCTCTAGCAAGATCTCGGCCTGTCTACCATTGGAAGCTAAGGGGTGGCTATTATGGACGCTAATGCAATGCTAGGTTCGACGTAATATGCCCTAATTTCTCACATTCGCTTCGGGAGATGACATGATGAACTACTCTGTTCAATCTACTCCGTAGTATATACCTTTTAAAAAGACAAAGCTAGCGTCGAAACTAGCAAGCACATGTAATGATACACGTTGACTAAGGGGAGTCAGTCACGTACAGAGAGTCCCCCCGTAGGTTGCTAGACGTTCTGTACTACTGATATGCTATATTTGCATCCTTATAAAGAATTGTTTGCCAAAACATAACCAAACCTTCAATGTACACTGTTCATACTTATATTGTACTATAGCCTCATGCTTATCACATCCAATGTCCGTTCTACCTAGAGAAAGCTTTCGCCAAGATGTATATGTGCTTTTTTCGTATTCTTCTTTTTTTTTTGAACTTTCTGTTCAATTGCCTTATTCCTTTTCCAAGCCTGCTGACGTGATGTCGTGGATATACCCAATTTTCAGATCCATGCCTCCATAACGATGTATCCCAAAGGCGGGAGTAGAGATGCCAACAACCAAACTCCAGAAAATAAACAAGAATCATGTGCAAGTAAATACCCATCAAGCCCTAAATGCTATCCAACATTACCGCCATACATATCATCTATATCAAAATTAAACAAACCCTCCATTACTTCTTTTCATTGCGATCTTTCCGCGCAGGAAGCTGGTTTGCAACCGCGTCCTTGGGTACCAGGACCTTGCGCACGGTGAACCCCTTCTCATTCTCCGGTCGGGTACCAGCACTGTCCCCATGGTAGAACTCACATCGAAACTTCAAAAATTTGTGGCGATGCTGATAGATCGTGATAACATCCCCCGTGTATATCTTGCCAAAATGAAACCCTTCCCGACTGGTATCCCCTTCCGGCCCTCGGCGCAGCTCCGTATCGTTCACCCAAATGCACTTGCGAGTTTTCGTTGAGAGTATTGCCATCACACCAGGTACAGACATCCAATCCAAACCCGCCCTTATCTTGGACTCAATGGCGGGGGCCCAGAAGGTGACCTCCAACGCATAGGCTGGGATTCTCGTATCCATGGGGTCCGGGTAGCAGACGGTCGCTTGAGGACCCCGGCCCCACGATGTCATTCGATCTTCCAGAGGTATCGTCAATTCGAAAATAGACCCAGGAAGCGTTGTCAATTTGCCCAGGAGAGTCGGAGGTTTACTTGGCTGGAGCACAATTTTGGGGTTCGTAGTAGGCGCTGGATCGGCGGGAGCATCGCCACCTGTTCTCTCTGGATAGTCTAAGATTGGCTGCCCGGTCTTAGCATCGATGGTATTTGCCAGCTCGATGTCGAAAATCTCCCCTGGGATAGATTTGGTTTCGTGGCGTTCGTCCTTGGCACGTTGTGCGATACTCTCGGGGCTCGAGCGTTCACTGGCGGTATCAGGCATGGGCAATTCAATCCGTCGGCTGAAGATGGCCGGTTTAGGGGTTTCGTTACCAGGGCTGGTTCGCTGCTTTGTCTTCGCCTCCTTTTTCTCTACAGAATCCCCCACCTTCACTCCAGTTGGCTGTGCCGGTATCTCGACGACTGGCGGACGATTGGTTGATGTGCCAGGGTGCCACGAATTCATGTTCAGCTGCCCAACAAGATTCTCAGCTCCCATCAAGCTTGGTGCGGATCCACAAATAGGGTCCTCCGGAAGGGAAAGGATGGAGTTAAGGCTGTTGCCGTCGCTGACCATCGACTCACCGGCTGAAGAAATGAAGTCATTAATGCTGAAATTGTCTCCTTCAAATGCATCCATTTTAGCACCCAGCGCATCCGAGCTTCCTAACACAGAGGGGGTGATTTCGCCGAAGAGGCGTTTTGGTGTTGTATCAGCAGCAACTTGGACTTCTTTTAAACTTTCAATATGGGGCAGAGATGGGTAACGAACGTCCGTAAGGGGATAATCAATCCTCGGCCGCTTGGATTGCGCCAAATCGCTATCCTCTTGCTCGGCCGGATCTTCGGGTTCTGGTTCGTCGTGGATTGAAAGCTGAGATGCACCCAATTCCTCTTCCGCATCCTCACCGATGTCTGAAAGTTCATCCCGGACATTGGCATATACTTCGTCATCATCGTACTTATCCACATCTTCAACCTCAGCAATCCATGGATGCTGAAAGCATTCTCGTTCTGTCGGGCGGGCCTGAGGGTCGCGGTTTAAAAGTCGGGTAACAAAATCAATACCCTCTTCTGATACGCCTTCGTTGCGCAGAATATCAATATCAGGATCGGTGGTCATGATCGTCCGTAGCATCTGAGCTCCTCTGTCATCGCCCCGGCCCATATACGGAGGAACACCAGCAAGAATATGGTAGAGGACCGCGCCAAGCGACCACATGTCGACGGATTGGCTATACGGAGACGTTTTCGGGGGTCTGACAATCAGTGTGCGTTCGATTAAGAGATGTTGCTAGGGAAACTTACGGATCACCTAATCTGCGCCTTTTTCTGACTTCACCGCGACGATAGGAGTCGTACTCCGGGTAAACTTCAGGGGCGCAGTAAAGCAATGTGCCACAAAACGTCTTGAGGAAGGTCTCCTCCTGCACTACTTTGGACAACCCAAAGTCCGACAGCTTAACTCTTAGTGGATCGAGCGAGGAGATGAGGATATTATCCGGCTTGATATCCCGATGTGTGATCTTTCGCTTATGGAGATACTGTAGCGCGTGCAGGACCTGGCGGGAAATTGTCTTGACCATGTCTTCCGCGATCTTGCCAGTAGATTGCAGGTACGTCGACAATTCCCCACCGGGGACGTATTCCATGATGATGTAGATCCATCGCTCATGCTCGTGGTGGTCAATATATTGAACAATATTAGGCTGTCCAGATAAGTATCAGTCGAACGATCGTCCTATGTATAGAGGAAGATGCTATCACTTACATGCTTGAGGTCCTTCATAATTTTCATCTCATTATCCACTTTCTGGTCCAAGACGCCGTTCTTCATGAAACGTCGCTTGTCAAGCTCCTTAGCTGCATACACGGCCCCATGCTGCTTTGTGGCAAGCTTGTATACTGTTGCAAAAGCTCCTTTTCCTATCTGACCGGTGACATTGTACGTCGGCCCGCCTGTCCAGTGCATTCCGTAGGTATTAGAAACCGTCCATTGCAAAACAGGCTGTGCAGAGGTTTGACGTGGCTTAATCTGTGTGGTTCCTGCCCGGTGCTTCTGTATCCGCTCAAAATAGCGTAGCAAATTCTCCGTATATTGCATAGAGAATCCTTCTCGGTTTGGAATGCGGACGACGAACCTAACTTCATCTGAGGTTTGGTCACCATTCATCACTTGAATGACAGAGCCGTTGGTCAGCATTCGACTATTCTCTCTCTGGCTCTTGCGAAGACGGCAGTTGTCTACAATGGTGCCATTGGTGGAAATGTCCTCGAGCATAATGATTCCGTCTTCGGTGAGGTAGATGCGGAAGTGCTGATTTGATATGCGTTTCGAATTTTGGTCACGGGCAAGGAGAAGATCGCAACGAGCTCTGTTGCGTCCGAAGCAAAAGCCAGTATTCAGATCGTGCACTTTCGAAGACAGCCTAAGCCCAATGTCCAGCGCTGCTGAAGTGTCGAACGCCAGCTCATCTCGCTGAAGGATATGCTGGGGCGCAGAACTGGCAGAGGCGGCCACCGCATGGTGGGCAGCGGGTGAACTGGGGTGCAAGATACATATTATGTCCGACACGTCCTGCTCATGGAGACCAGAGTTGTTGAAGCCCATGCGGCGGGGGTCCGTGCATGGCTGGGTAGACTCTTGGGTCGCTTCCATTTGGTGTGGGAGGTGGTAATGTCCGGCGAGAAGTTGCCTGACACTGCAAAAGAAGAAAGAGAGAACTACTATCACAAAGTGGATAACTTAAGGTATATGTGTAGATGTGTGAATATGAAGAGATGTTCGCAGAATCAATACAATCATTAACACGGGCTGCATTCCATGAACCTATTGGAGGGTCAGTTTTTCATGCCTCACAATATGTTTCATGAGATAGTCTTGGCTAATGGAAGAGTCTGGAGGTTCCTTACCTTATGCAAAACCAACGAAAAATGAACACCAATAACAGGTGCTCTTCAATGGACCCCCTAGCTTTCCACTGGGGGTGCTAAACTATGTGCACGGACTTGATACTAGTAGTTGCCTGTACTGAGCCAAAAAGGCACCAGAAAAATCCACCAAGCTTTTGAGGTAATATTATATTCCTACAACGCGTAGTGCCTCGATGACAACGGGTAATGGGAAGGCAAATTCGTAGGTAGGGAGACCCCGATCTTGCCGGCCAAATAATCACAAGCAAGCTCGCACACGATGTTGTGGGCCGGATTCATTAAACAAAGGAATGACAAATGGAAGTTCGAGCTATGATTTAAAAGGAGGGCAAGCGCTATGTCTGTGAAACAGTAGATGGCGTTAGTCGGGAGCTCTTGATTAACGAGGAGCGACAGGACTCGAAAACTTACACAGTTGACGAAGTCCCCATCCACCATCCACTGCACAATCCAGAGCGTGACTGCGACAATGGTCTTAGTTTAATGGGGCGATCCGGCAACAGGGACGCGACAGGAAGCTGTCTTGGTAGGGTCGTCGTCCACGAAACAAGCAGTGAGGCTGAAGTGAATATCCCGCAATTTATTTGAAGAGCGGAAGAGGCCCCAGGCATCAACAAGGCGCTGTCCAGGCACCAAGGCCGAAGCTGCCTGAGGCGGACAGAGCACTTCCAGCCAATAGCGAGCATGGTGGGGGGATATTGGGCGGGAACCCAACCGTGGATGCCGAAGTGGGGATTTTGGATCTATCAACCCGAGATATGATTCACTCCCACATATCGATTACATCTGTGGAAACTTCAGGTCTTACTCTTTCTATTTGCATATTTACTTACTACTTTTCGTTTAGTAATGAATACAGGATTTGGAATCAGTATGTTCTTAAGAATATACTCTATCGAAATAGATAATATTCTAAACTTATATTCATACTATATGATATGTCTATATCTCTATGTAGATATCTTTCAACAATCGCTCATCGCCAGTGCCGACATCCTTCCTTGAATCCCTTTCTGTTCTTCCTCGGTCAGCTCAATCCCAAACTGATCCTTCAAAGCCTTAACTCGTTCCCTCTCGGTCATGCACATTTGGACCAGCACGTTCTTCCCGCCTTGATTCTTCTTAACTTTGTCATCGTCCAAAACAATCTCCCCATACACCTCGTCTCTTTCACGAAGATACTTAACCACCAACAAATGTGATGTGAGAAAGCAGTCTGAGTGGCAACTTGTGAAGAAACTCATTACTTCGAAATCACGCTAGAAGAATTCTATTTCTGTGAAAGCGTAGTTATGTATCCACGGCTGGTCTTCCGCATTGCGGGTCTGATAAATCCACTGGCGTTGGCGAGACCCGGGTAAAGGTTCGTACACCAACCGCATCGTCTGGGTTCCAATGTTCTTATGAATAGAACCCTTGACCAATGGTAAAGGACATCTAGGACCATTCCCTCCATATCCCACGTCGATCAGGTATCTTTGCTGGTCGAGGGTGACGATATTCACAGAATGCTCCCTTGAACCTTATCAATATATACCCAGACACAAGTAAATTTCCAAGAACTCACCAGCCGGACAAGCTTTTTGTGTAACTCTGCCACATCTAGGGAAACCTTCACATTCTTCGCATAATGAAGGGATAGGTTTTCGTAAGGGATTGCTGTGACGTGATAACCTTGGAGATTGGACAAAAAAGAGAGATCCAATGCAGGATGCTGATCGCGACGGTATGTTTTCGGTAATTGGACGCGCTCGAAGTAGGCGTCAACCTGTTCGCCTGTGAGCGCTGAGCAGATGGATGTCATACTTATTCTATATGAAATCAAAAAGGGAACAGGTAGTCGTTTCTGTCACGCAGAAAGAGGCAAGGCAACTGGGGTTTATGCGTTGAGTCATTGCGATCTAGTTGATGCCGAGCTATCCTTAATGGAGATTATGTAGATCGAGACTCTGCCCCAATTGGATACCATCCGATCCGAGCGTCGATCTAGCAGATCTGAGATGAGGGGTTGCTGATGCTCAAGATCCCAAGACCCCCCCACCACCTTTTTTCCTTTCCTTTCCTTTTTCTCAGTTCTTGGACGGTACACGCACTGTTTTGCATACCGCCGAACAATATTTCCCCCAAATCCCCGTGGTTCACTTCACCGAAACTGTCTACGCCGTGTTCATCATGCGCCTCTTTACTGTAAGTTTAACGCATGTTCGAATCTATAAGACCCACTAACCAATAACGTGGAGGATGTCATCTCCGATGACGAGATGTTTTCGGACAAATTCCCTATAAAAGAAGTAGACGATATTGTCTATGAAGTAGACTGCGCATTAATAGAAATCACCCGGGGCCCTGTTGGTGCGTTTTCATCTTTATATGCTTAGAAAGAAACTTTTAACGCAATATCTAGAGATTGGCACTGATCCCTCTGCTGAGGAACAGGAGGAGGCGCCGGAAGATAACACCGTCACTGTCAATAATGTTGTGCATTCGTTTCATCTACGACCAACCAACTTCGACAAAAAGACGTATATAATGCATTTAAAGGGTATGCCCACGTTATCAATGCCGGTGCGAACTACTAACGGCGCCACAGGTTACATGCGGGCTATCAGGAAACATCTTGAAAAAACAAACCCCTCCAGGGCCCACGAGTTTGAACAATGCGCATCGCAGTATGCGAAGAAAATCGTCGCCAATTTCAGAAGCTTCGAATTTTATACTGGAGGGAGTATGAACGGAGAGGCTATGGTTGCTCTTCTCAACTACCGCGACGATGGCGAGACTCCATTTTTCACCTTCTGGAAGGATGGGCTGGACGTAGTTGATTATTGAAAAGTAATTGACGAAAGTCACAGTATGAGATGGTTACGCTGACTGCATATATGCCCCGTCTAGATTAGCTATTTACCGTTAAATGGCTAGCTAGAAGTCCAACTTAAATTGATAGTCGAGCAATGCAGTATGGTTTATCGCAAAGATGAACGATATCAAGTTGTCCTCTATGTTGTTATACTAGGAGGCGAGTACATGCTTTACCCACGACATGTAGCCTGGTACTCTTTCAGGTAGAAGGGGCGCGGTCGTCCTATCAAATAATGCTACTGTTGGAGTCTGGAGAAAGAGCGGATCTCGAGTCGGGCAGTCATTGATTGTTTAATGTTATAAGGCTATAGTAATCCCTACCTCACCCTTTATTAACATACAGATCCTCCATGGCCGTATTTAAGGGAAGGGACCGAAAACATAAGTTGTTAATCTTGCCCTCCAAGTCATGTTCATAGTAGTTGGGGTACCATGCGTCTTGTTGATCCAATCTTGGTCTTCAAGGCTTTATAGTATTTAAAGTTAATTTCTCATGTCTATATAATTTTCATTTTACGATCACTTAGTGTCTCGTCTGAGTAACGAATCAGGGTAGAATCGTAATCCTATACCTTCTTCACAGCTTTTCGACGAATTATTTCCAATAACTCCTCCAGTAGCTCGATGTAGATCGGACTGTGATTACTAATCACATAAACCCCCCTAAAAGGAGTGGATGCCCACAAGAGGAAATGAGCTATATACTATTCACTTGTGTACTACCCGTTGAGATCATTACATTTGAAAATTCTTAGGGTTTTTACCTGCTACCGTACGGTAAGCTTTGATCCGTGCTACGTTGATAGTTCCCACTCATAGCCAATCCAAACACCTCGCCCAGACGCGCAATGGCCTCCTCCGATACCTCTGGGATTGAGTCAGTGTCCGCTGCAAGGATAACCCTAAGTAACCCGTAGAATGAGGGGTACGTACGGTAGTGAATGACAATCCGATTGCCCAACAGCTTCAGCCCCTTTTCCTTCCCTATCTCCCCCAAGTCATTGGGTCCCAGCCCGGCCGCGTCAAGGTCCAGCCACACCATGTTAGTCTCTACTGGCTGTGACAGCTTGCCGCCGAGGTTTTGCCACATTTCCGCGACTTTCTTTGCCTTAGTATGCGTTTCCCAGAGCTTCCCTCCCTGACCATGGGGGTCTGTGCCAAAGGTCTCGTCGAGAGCCACCCGGGCTGCAGCAGCGAGTACCCCTGCTTGTCGGACACCACCTCCAATAGCTTTGCGGAACCACCTAGCTTTCTTAATAAACTCCCTGGATCCAACAATAATACTACCAATAGGCGCCCCGAGACCCTTGGAGAAACACAAGCTCACGCTGTCAAACAAACTAGCGTACTCCGGTAAGCTACCGGCCCCGGACACTACCGCTTCCCAGAGCCTCGCCCCGTCCAAATGCACTTTGATCCCGTTTGCATGCGCCCATTCTGTAATCCTACGAGCCTCCGCGAGCGGCAAAACCCTGCCGTCTAAGGTGTTTTCCAAACTGATCAGCTTCGTGGGACAGTGGTGGATATCGTCGTCAAGCACCGCATATTTCTGGATATCTTCCAGGGTGAGATAGCTGCCGTTCTTGGGATCGATGGGTTGGATTGTCGCACCGGTCAACGAGCTGACCCCACCCGCCTCATGGCAGACGATATGAGATCGGCGATCACATATTACGGAATAAGGCGGCTGCACGAGGTGAGTTCGAATGGCAACCTGGTTACCCATTGTTCCGGACATCACGAGCAAGGCATCTTCATGGTTGGTGCGTTGGGCTACATAAGCCTGGAGGTCGTTTGTTACCGGGTCCTCACAGAAGACATCGTCAAGGAGTGTTGTTTGAGTGATTGCTTCGAGCATTGACGTGGTCGGTTTGGTCATTGTGTCGCCTTTTGTTCGCTATATTTTAGCATATTTTTGTCAAAGATATATAATCATTGACATAATCTTACTCCTCAGGTCAAACTCCGCCGCCCCAGCACCTTGCCAGGTGTTGGCCTTGTTATTTGAAGCTGTCGATAAGCTCGCCATAATGAATCTTTGACCGTATGCGACTCTTTGAAGAGATAATGCCGGCCGAAGCAAAGGTGGTGGCCGAATGAGCGAGCGAAAGAATGGCCTCATCAAGTCCGCTTCTCGCTGACAATCCACAAAGCGTACAATGAAAGGAGGGGGCGCAACAATGACTTGGTCGGTACTACCTGTTACCGAATGGAGGCTTTCCGAGACACCAGTGCACGTATGCGGGGACGGTCGGAAGAAATACCGCGTACGAAACCCATACGGTAAAACGAATACCAAGTCGGACAACATGCCGGGGTAATTAACATTTAATGGAGTAATAAGCGTTTTAGAATGACGACACTTCGAAACGCGTGCGGTTCTTATCGATAACCCGAACAGGAATAGCTGACCCGCCGACGTGTCCCCGGTTGTGGCTGAGTCAGCAGTCGAGATCCCTCTGGACTTTTGCAGCGTGGGAGAGGCTTTCAACGTCCTCGCATAGTCCCTCCAAACCCTTTTGCAGGTGGCGTACGACACATCGGACGCCATTTTGTGGGTTTTGGGATCCCTTTTCACCATGGATTTATCGAAATTGGCCCGTCCGGCCATCCTGTGCCAGTGTTTGCGCTGTTCGAGCTCCCTAGCCGCACTGGAGAATGAATGGGCCAAGCTTTCCAACTCTTATTCCGTTGCAGCAGGATGGCTGAGCGTCGAACTCCACCGCATCTCAATCTCGCCCGAAAAGAAACAAGTACCGCAATCATCAGACCTGAGTATACTCCGCGGACGCATCTTGCAAGAGATCTCCTGCAAGCTCTGCCAGCAGAAATTAGGCGTGTTGTGCTCGCTCGATAATGGGTAAGTCGGAGTAACACCGAATGAACAAGAGAGATCATCGGCGCATGCATGCAGACTAACGATGCCAAGTCCTAATGTCTTCTGGAAGCTATCGAAGGTCTCGTTCCGGGAAATCGTGTCCATGCGCACGGTAGAACCTGTATTCAAAGATGGACTACTCGAGCGCCTGATCCACCCGCCTCAGAAGGAATCGACCCGACGAGACCGGACATCTATCCAGCCCGGAGCTTTAGTACGAGTCGGTTCGTCTGAGATGGACCATTACACTACATCCGTGGAGCAGCAGATTCAACACCATGGACTGAGCCTCGATCATATCTCAAGTTCCGTGAGCAACCTACACGATACTATGTCCGAGCTGAAAGGCGCATTCACAGCGCTCCGTATCGAACTGAATAGCCCCGGACGCCTCCCCGATCTAGGAAACACCATGGACAACGACTTCAACATGATCACAACAGTTTTAAAAGAACTGAAAGCCAAGTCAGAAGAGATCGAAAAGCTAAAACTAGAAATGGAGGCATTGAAGCTCAAAAACCGTTACGTGGAAGAACAGAACGCAAGACATCAACAGCAACAGCAACAGCAACCCTCAACCCTATCTATACCCGGCCCACTCCCAGAAGTCCGCAGCCCGGGATTGCTCCAGGCAGGCAGGAAGCGGCCATGGCCGGACTCCTGGCCCAGCGGCCGCACACAACCAATTGCCGACTCATTCGATGATGGCGATGAGGAAGATAGCATTGACTTCTCTCTGGAAGACCCACATATGCCCCCAGTCAAAATCCCATTAAAGGGGCCCGAGACGGACGCAATGATGGACACACCGCGCGAGCCAACAGTGCCAGGGTCTCCGAACTTCCGAGTGGAAATCAATCCATCAAGACACCAAAGTCCACAATGGGAGACCCCCGAAATCCATCCCAGCGTAGAGCAACAGACCGTGTCCAAACGCCCCCGTATGTCTCAGGCTTCCGAGAAGCCACCACCTAGCGGGGAGTCGGACAAAAGAAGGCCAGGGCGGCCACGCAAATCCATAAGCCAGGCCACAAAGCCGGATTTTTCACAGACTCAGACCCCGAGGCCAACACCATTAAGTGAGCAAAACCCCAACGTCAGTAGCAATGGCCAAAAAGAGAATGCACCCTCCAGCACCAGTCCCAGCCAACGCCAAAATGGAACTGAAACACGTCCGGGTCGTACCCGAAGCTTGCGCAGTCGGTCACGGCCGCCACCCCGACAATCAACAGGTCCTAATAATAATTTCTCTGAGCAGGACCAGACACATACATCGGCGAGTAGTCAAAAGGAAACCCCGCATGGGCCAGAAGATCCAGTGTCTTTTGATCAAGAGACAGGGTCAGGGAAGGAAAACCCGCTGGGAAAGACAAATGGTGCTCATACTGATGATGGGAATCAGCGTGAAGCGCAAGAGAAACGAAAGGCACAGGTTGCCGCCCGCGATATTATGGCACGCTTAGCTATGCAGCGCGAAGAAGCCATGGAAACGCAGGCCCGCTGATTCAAAGCTAGACTGAAATTCTATTCATGTATTATTCATTTATTTACTCCCTTCTAACCGTTTCCGTCTTAGTCGTTCACTCGCTTGTTTTCCTTTTTGTCTTGAACTTTTAAAACTACTTTGGGTTATGTGATGGTGTATAAAAAAAAGTCGGTTCTTCACGAGTACACGGAGCAGTGGAGCAGTGGAGCAGTGGAGCAGTGGCCGGGTTAGATTGGTCTTCCTGAGATCTGGATATCTCAATACTATTCAAAAAAAAATTATTGTCTTTAATTGTATGTATCTTCTCAACTTCATGTTATACAGGGATATCCGCGCTAGATCAGTAGCCCACAATATATTCAAACCAGAATCTATTTCACACACATGAAACCGCAGCCTTCTCGAGCTCTCTCACAAGCCCTTTTCAGGGCCTGTTCCTCAGTATCCGTCCATTTGACAGTCAGTTCGTCCCATGGCTTCTTAGCATTGAACTCTTCCCGGAAGCGCTTGTGCATGGCCTGTAGCCGACTGACCTCGCGCGGGTCGCCAGTACCCGAGTACACAATAAACAAAGTACACGGTGGAAGAGACTCATAGACACGTTGGATATGAGAGACTGTACGAGATACTGTATCGATGAGACTCTTCTCGGGAATCTCTGAGGGGGCGGACGTAGGAGGGCCAGTCGGTGTGGTTTCTTCGGGGGGAGGTACAAGTGTCGTGGACTCATTCGCGTTATTGGGGTCTGGCATACGATTACACCAGCCTCGATACATTTCCAGCTCTCGCATCCGTGCCCAGGTAAAATCTACTCCTCCACCTGGAACCGAAGCGTTGCTGTCATCTCCGTTTACAACAGATGATATTCCTTTCACAACATCCTCGTCATCGCTGCACCCGATTGCGACGGTCGCCTGCGATCCGAATCCTCGCTCGGGGCTTCCCCAGTCAACCACGGCTCCAGTACGGCCTTCCCCTGTCGGGTTTGATTTGCCTGACCGTGTAGAACGTGCCAGGCGCTTGAAAATGCTTTCATTCTGGGCATCACTTGTTCCCCAACGCTCGCCCTTCTCACACTTTTGTTTCACCAGCTCAAGCACGGCGCGAGCATCTTCGATGGAGTCATGACCAGTCTGGCCCTTTTGAATTTCCTTCCCGAGATACTTCTGAGTAAGCCACTTCAGGCTACACTTAAGAGGTGGCCCACGAGGGTGTGGATAAATGAATGTAGTGTCGACAATAAACGGGTGAGTGAGTTTGAGAGCGTTTAAATCCGAATTCAGTGAATGGCCGACCAGTATAGTGTGCGGAGTTAGGATAGTGAGGAGTTTCTGCTGGATATCGGCCAGGGTAGTCGTGACAGGATCCAGCATTTCTTTAGTAATCCCTGAAAACCGGGTAAGGTAGTCAATGACCGGTAACTGCGGCTTCACGAGCTCATCTAGTACAACTTCGCCGTCCCAGCCGACCAAGCTTATACGCGTGAGCTCGGATTTTCCGCCTTCCGTTATGCACATCTCACAGTCGAGGGCTAGTATATTACGCCCTGCTGTCATGCTTCCCTGTTGGACCTCGGCCTCGGGAACATCACCTTCCTCCAAGTTTGCGACATGGGTATCGACCCACCCGGCCCCAGCATCCTGGCCAGCTCGTTTGCGGCTTTGCATCAAATCAGACTTCTCATTGTCTGTTGTGAAGAGTGCCGGATGCAGAGCATACTCATTTTCACGGAGATCCTCGAGAGAACTGATGAATGTCGTTATCGGAGTCCGCTTGGGAACGAAACTCTTATCCATCCGTGCCTGTTTGGGGCCCTTCTTTTGATTATCCTCCTTGTTCTTGGGAAGAGCAGACAACAAAATTGCTTGAAGCGGCGAATGAACCTTGTTATACTTCGAATCCCCGGGAGCTCGAACCGGCCAAACATGAGGAAACATGTCTGCCAGCGGCTGTAATGAATCGGGAAGTTCATCGCGTGACAAAGGGCGCGGGTTAAACCGATGAGATCGGTCTTCAAGAGGCAGCCCTTGCTTCCAACGATTAAACTCGGCCGTTTTAGGATCCTCTTCTTGCCCCTCAGCACCTGCAGTGTCATTCTGATTCGTTTGCGAGCCTGACACATCCTCCGCAGGTGGCTGCAACGGAACTGTCCCATCAAACATGCCAATCTCTAGACCCGGCACCATCAATGCTACGACCTTCCTAACATGGCCGGAGTGCTTGATGGAAATCCACTGCGGTGCGATGCCGTCCGCGAAACAGTAAAGCAAGAGGCCCTGCAAGTCTGCGATCCGAATAGAAGATTGTAGCCGCCCATCGATGTAGGTAAGAACTGGATATTTCGTCTTCTCTCCGTCCACCCGCTTCTTCTTCGAGGGTCTCTGTGCCGGCGTATCGATCTTGTCCTTTGTTGTATTTTCCGACTGCATAGCTGTAGGAGGTTCATTTTCCTCGGAAGGGTTGGAGCCACGGAGGAGAGACAATGTTTGCGCTACGCCGAAGCCATTATTGGCATTTGACGTGTCATTGACTGGGGGTTCGTCGTCTGAGTAACCGGCCTCCGTGCGCTTGCGCTTCTTCATCCCTGCCATGTTGTGACCGCTAGCGGGGAAGGGATATCGATTTTCAATGTTCGTTGCGAGCAGGCCTATTATCCAGAAGCTCTAATCAACGATGTCGTTCCTTTTGGTAAAGTTTTAGATTACCTTGGCCAAATAATGGCCTGGACTATGGTCGGTCTTTTAAAGCTTAATAAACTCCCGGATCGGATTTATCAATCGACTTTTTGCATCACGTGCTGATAGTATATCGCTATGCATTGATGACTCAGACTAGAAATCATGCAGTTATGCATTGTTGTATGTGTTTAATCGACTAGATGACATTCTTTAACTAATCAGTACTTGTACTCATAAAGAAAGTCAGTGAACGACAGATTCTTATGCTGATTGGCGTTTTCTTCAAAGCTATAGATATTTAGCTGAATTAACTTGCACTGCAAACCAGTAAGTTTCGACGAACTCAGAAGTATCTTTAATAACCCAATATATCCGCGTGTAGTAAACATTGCAATCTAGTTAAGATCCTGTAACTATATAGCTGTAGTTTCCCCGTGAATTCTACCGGTTTTTGTAGCCTTCATCGCATTGGAGGCAGTAACATAGGATACTCCCATTACATAAGGCAGAGTGTAGCCTAATAACCAACCATTTGATGATAATCATAAAGGAAGACCAGCCAGTCTTGATAATAATAATAATTGGTGGTTTGTCTTAAGGATATGCCCTTGGAACGCTGGATAGGTGGGTGCCATTGTAATGGGTATAGCGAGATACCCCGGGAAGATTAATCAATATTGGCCTTACTACCTACTAGGACACACGATGTCTATATATCTAAAGTACTTGTAAGAGGACGCGTAAAGGTTTCGAAATATTAAGGTTGATCTCCGTAACTACTACCTAGGAAGCAGTACGATTACTAAAAGTATATACAACTAAGCCTTTGGATCAATTCCGGAACGTTGAAAGTATGGCAACCATCTCGGTAGTACCGGTTCCACAAGCAATTACGCCTTGAATAGCTTATTATTTAACGTGATCGGTCTATTCCGTAGAGCCAGAAGAATAGTATAAAGACGCTGGGGGCGGAAGTGCTGGACCTGCGCCAAACACTGTGTTGCTCTTAAGGGTTGTCTCCCCGCTGGTTAGGCATCCGGTACCCACTCACCCACTCTACGTAACGCTAACCCTAATTCGAGAGATTACTGAACATCCCGAGTCCGCAAATTTCAGAATATCCATTGGTCTATGGGTTATTGACTTTGGCTAGTTACATTATGGCTATCTACGTTGGATGGATTGATTGATTGCCTCTTAATTTACGAAGGCCCGACGGGCCATGAAGCGTTCGTAGAAAACTTGATCAGTAATCAAACCTCTAGTAATCCATTGGTGAACCAATGGTGTTTATTAATCACCATATTTCAAGTCAGGAATGCTAAAATGCACAAATAGTGTATAGACGTGCCGATGGAATCAATCCTGCTCCAAATGGCTTTTACGAATCAGGCATTTAAGCGGCCTGATGGCTTACTGTGCCACAGGATTATATATGTTGCGGTTGGTATACTACAGAAAGTCGATTCAGTATCATGGCCATTTTCCCAAGCAGCTTCCTCACATCAGCGGGCCGCATGGTGCCACCACCAGGCGTGATGCCAAGTCCCCCATCTAGCTCACTCCAAAGTATCTCGATCTGTCGATCGGACAGTAAGCCCACTGTGTCATCTTCACGCTCGCTGATGCCTAGTGCCCACTCCATTGTTTCCAGGAGATGGATGACGCCGTTGAAGAAGAGAATGCCCTGCATGCATGGGGTATCTAGGGGCAACCCTCCAAATATAATACCTGGGATAGGGGCGATGGGGTCAGTGGAGAATCGCTCGATGCGCGTAGAGAAGTGCTCAAGAAATAACCCGTAGACCGAAATCAGCTGCGTGAAGATGCTTATGATGGTTAAAGCGAGTGGAGTTAATACTGGCTGTAATACTGCAGAGAAGAAGGGTGGAGTAGAGGTTGAGTTAGAATCGAGGATATTATCCAAGTAGGGTTGCAATTGCACCGTCATCGACTCCGGGTAGAGGCTTCCTGGTTTCTGCGAGGTAGACGGTAGCTCATGGCATTGCCTGCTGTTAAGAAGCCGCATCAGTAATTGCACAAAGTCTTGTGATGCCTTGAGCGTGAACACAGCCAATGTGTAGTTGTCGATAAATAACGGGCTATTTTGATAGATAAGGCTATTAAAGTCTAGGCTCGTTTTGTTTATTTCGGCAGCCGCGACACGAACGTGCAATTCGACGTTGATCTTAGAAAGCTTGGCTAGAGTGTCTGAAGTCTCGATGTTGTCTACTGCCCCTTCGAGTCCCGGTATCACAGGAGTCGCCGAGACGTAGGGGATTCTGTTAGCGGCCTTGTCGAGTGAGCGAGCATGTGTAGTTGCGAAGCCGAAGGTCGAGTCGAAGTTAGCCAAGGGAAAGCCATCATTAATAATGTTTGTAAAGTTCCATGTAAGCGTGTTCTGGTGGATTTGAACTATTCCAACTGTTGGCCAAGCCGGTGGGGGAATGAATGCATTGGGCGCCGCTGTTATCAACATTGGTGTTGGAGTTGACAGGTTTGTCGGAGAGGTCATGCTGCTCCTCCATCCGAGTCCATGTTCGGTATTCATGAAAGGTGGAAACACTTGAGTTGTGCCTAGTGCGTTTCGCGCAATCTGCTGCTTCTGTCGATTGAGCCGTCGGTGCAACGGTTGTTTGATGATTGAGCTGGACTTAGAACTTGGAATCTTAGAAACATCTTTGCGGGAATCTGTCCTTTGTTTCGGTCTGCCGACTTTCCTCTGCTGCCCGGGAGTACATTCTACACGAAGAATCGTACAACGTGCGCATTTCGGATCGGTTTGTCGTATGCGTTGGCATTTTGCTTTTTGCCTCCTGCAGAGCTCACAGGAAAAGCGTGTCTGTGACGGATGAATGTGGTCGAGAGCCATACTACTCTAATAAGGAGGGTTCGCGATACCGAGGGTTACCGAGATGGCGCGGATGGAGAAGAGAGGCTGGGAGAGGCGACGCCGGGGGGAAGGGGCGCGTTTAATGCTCCGCGGAGGGTTTTTGAAACTAGTAGTTAAGGGCCCAAGCCTAATTGTGAAGCTTATAAATCAGAAAGTGTCCCGACCAATTACTTAGTGCCTGGTATTTATAGCATTGAAATTAAGTTAGAGCGATCCACGGTGACCCATGATTCCAACGCTACAAATCCATACTGGGGTGATATCTGATGTTTAATAATCATTCCGTTCAGCCATGTACGGTACTAGGTATATCCCTAGTTTGGGTTCGGGACACCAGCCGATGGGGTATGAGACTGACTTGGCCATTGGCTACGTAGTACTGAGAAAGTCGTCTTTACTGACTTATCCGGAGGGTTCATGGGAAGAAATTGGGTACTGTTTCGTTTACCTTCCGACTAAGGAGGGTTTCCCCCATATTGTTACCCAGGTAGCCAGGCTACGATAGTGCACGCAATGAGATCTAGAACGAGTAATGAAACGTAAGCTAGGCGATTGATGAGCTCTGTTCAGTTAATTGGTATATATATATAAGTACACATACATCTATCAAGTCTCCCAACCGTGTTAAGTCTCTTTCGCACCGCGAAACTCCGTTTCTTTAATCATATTTTCTCGATCTTCGAAATGAACCCCAGTTCATCAACTAGCGACACAAGGCGCACCATCGCTGGCGAATCAAAAGATACCGACGACGAGACAGAAAAGGAATCCATTCAACATGTCCAGTCGACATGGCACATGGCACCCGAGTTGCACAAAATGAGAGAACGAGACGAAGCCGGTGGAGAGAAGCCACGAAAGCTGGGCGTCGCCTGGCAAAACCTCACTGTCAAAGGCGTTGGCGGTAATGCCACATTCAAGGAAAACGTTGTCTCCCAGCTTTTCCCCTTCCACAAGGGTAGCAATGATGCCCAACTGAAGACAATCATTCAAGATTCATACGGATGTGTTAAGCCAGGAGAGATGTTGCTCGTGCTGGGACGCCCCGGGGCTGGCTGCACGACATTGCTGAGCGTACTTGCCAATAATCGACTAGGCTACGAGGAAGTCACTGGAGATGTTAGCTATGGTAATATGTCCGCCGTGGAAGCCCAACAGTACCAGGGCCATATCATCATGAACTCAGAGGAGGAAATTTTCTTCCCTACCTTAACTGTCGAAGATACCATCAGCTTCGCCGCTCGCATGAAGGTTCCCTATCAACTGCCACCTGGAATCACGACTCATGAAGAATATGTTCTGTTCTATAAAGACTTTCTCCTTCGATCTGTCGGAATATCTCATACCAAACGAACAAAGGTCGGAGACGCTTTCATCAGAGGTGTCTCAGGAGGCGAGAGGAAACGGGTGTCTATTCTTGAATGCCTAACTACTCGTGCGAGTGTATTCTGCTGGGATAATTCCACAAGAGGCCTCGATGCTAGTACAGCACTCGAGTGGATTAAGGCAATCAGAGTAATGACCGATGTCCTCGGCCTTACTACTCTGGTCACACTCTATCAGGCAGGTAACGGCATCTATGAGCATTTCGATAAGGTCCTCGTTCTCGATGAGGGAAAGCAAATATTCTACGGACCGCGGAAAGATGCGGTCCCATTCATGGAGGGCCTGGGTTTTATGCGAGACCCAGGTTCCAACCAAGGAGATTTCCTGACGGGTGTAACAGTTCCTACCGAGCGCCGTATTGCCCCTGGATATGAAGACAAGTTCGCACATACCGCCGATGAGATCCTCACTGCATACGAGCGATCGGAAGTCAAAATGGGAATGCTGGAAGAGTGCCAAATCTACCCAAATAGCAAGGAAGCCGCTGAAAACACAGCTACCTTTAAGGAAATGGTGTCTCGTGAGAAGCACAGGGGCGCATCCAAGAAGTCTCCTGTCACTGCTGATTTCATCACCCAGGTCAAGGCCGCCATCCTCAGAGAGTACCAGCTCAAACGGGGCGATAAGGCGACGCTATTTATGAAACAAGGCGCTACACTCATTCAAGCTCTCCTCGGTGGCTCTCTATTCTATTCTGCTCCTAACAACTCGACCGGCCTTTTCCTAAAGGGTGGTGCTTTGTTCTTCTCCATTCTATACAATGCTCTTATAGCTCTATCAGAGGTTACCGACTCATTCACTGGCAGACCTGTTTTAGCAAAGCACCGCTCCTTTGCCCTGTACCACCCAGCGGCTATTTGTATTGCCCAAATAGTCGCAGACTTTCCTATACTTCTATTCCAAGTAACACATTTTGGTCTTGTTCTGTATTTCATGGTTGGTCTGAAGACCTCGGCTGGGGCCTTTTTCACTTACTTATTCACTAACTTTGTCACTGCGATGTCCATGACGGCCTTTTTCCGACTCGTTGGCGCCGCATTCCCTACCTTTGACGCTGCGACAAAGGTCTCCGGCCTTTCGATTGTAGCGTTATTTGTTTACATGGGATATATGATTATCAAGCCCCTGATGCATCCGTGGTTTGTGTGGATCTTTTGGATCAACCCCATGGCATATGCTTTCGAAGCTCTTCTTGGAAATGAATTTCACGACCAGAATATACCGTGCTATGGCCCCAACCTTATTCCCAGTGGCCCCGGCTACATTGATGGGGAAGGTGGCCAATCGTGTGCTGGTGTTGTTGGCGCAGCACCCGGTGCAGCGAGCCTTACAGGCGATGATTATCTTGCAACCATGTCATTCAGCCATGGCCACATATGGCGCAACGTCGGCATAATTTGCGCCTGGTGGGTGCTCTATGTCGGGCTCACCATTATCTTTACCTCTAGGTGGAAATCGCTTGGAGAAGGTAGCCGCAGGCTCCTTATTCCTCGTGAGCAACAGCACAGATCGAGGCATCTTTTGCAGTCCGGTGACGAGGAAGCGCGAGATGGGAAGTCCACTGTCAACTCCAGGTCTGATACATCAACAGAAAATATTGGTGATAATCTTCTCCGTAATAAAGCAATCTTTACCTGGAAAGATTTGACATATACTGTTAAAACCCCTGACGGTGATCGCATCCTTCTTGATAACGTCCAAGGTTATGTCAAACCGGGTATGCTTGGGGCTCTAATGGGCACATCTGGTGCTGGCAAGACGACACTACTTGACGTTCTCGCACAACGCAAAACTTCAGGTACTATCCATGGATCTATTCTAGTTGATGGTCGGCCTCTTCCGATCTCATTCCAACGTTCAGCCGGTTATGTTGAACAGTTAGATATTCATGAACCTTTAGCGACTGTCCGTGAGGCTCTTGAATTCTCAGCTCTCCTACGCCAGTCTCGCGATACACCCACTGAAGAAAAATTACGATATGTCGATACAATCGTTGACTTGCTAGAACTGAATGACCTTGAACATACGCTTATTGGTTCCCCAGGAACTGGTCTCTCAGTGGAACAACGCAAGCGGCTTACTATTGCTGTTGAATTGGTAGCAAAACCAAGTATCCTGATCTTCCTCGATGAGCCCACGTCAGGATTAGATGGTCAGTCTGCCTATAATACTGTTCGTTTTCTTCGCAAACTTGCAGAAGCTGGACAAGCCGTCTTGGTGACGATACATCAACCATCAGCTCAATTATTTACGCAATTTGATAAGCTACTGTTGTTAACTGCAGGTGGCAAAACAGTATATTTCGGAGCTATCGGCCAGAATGCGAGCACCGTTAAGGAGTACTTCGGCCGCTATGGATCCCCTTGCCCTCCTGAGGCTAATCCCGCTGAGCACATGATAGATGTTGTTTCAGGGAAAGGCGAGGGTCAAGATTGGAACCAGATCTGGTTGCAGTCACCAGAGCATAGAAAGCTCTCCGAAGAACTGGATAACATGGTTGCAGAGGCTCTCGACCGAACCACAACAGTTAATGATGACCAGTATGAGTTTGCGGCTTCACTGTGGACACAAACTAAGCTTGTGACGCATCGCATGAATATCTCACTCTTCCGCAACACCGAATACCTCAACAACAAATTCGCCATGCATATAAGTCTAGCACTGTTGAACGGCTTTACTTTCTGGATGATTGGAGACTCACTTACAGACCTACAGCAGAATCTCTTTACTGTGTTTAATTTTATTTTTGTGGCGCCAGGGGTCATTTCCCAACTCCAACCTCTTTTCATTGACCGTCGAGATATCTTTGAGGCACGCGAGAAGAAGAGCAAAATGTATCACTGGGCTCCTTTTGTCACAGGCCTGATAGTCTCCGAGTTTCCCTACTTGCTTGTTTGCGCATTGCTATATTATGTCTGCTGGTACTTTACTGTCGGCCTTCCTACCTCACCATATCACGCTGGCAGTGTCTTTTTTGTTGTGGTAATATCCTCCAGTCTATCTTCCAACGACGCCCAACCCTTTATTTAGACACGAGCTAACATTTGTCTCAGGTAATGTACGAGTGCCTCTACACAGCAATTGGGCAAATGATTGCCGCCTATACCCCCAATGCCGTATTTGCATCCCTTGTCAACCCTCTCGTGATCACGACTCTAGTCTCGTTCTGCGGTGTTATGATCCCATACAGCCAAATCGAGCCATTCTGGAGATACTGGTACGTTATCTGCTATTTTATGTTGTATGATGACCCACCATACTTGAGCAGTGATCTAACAATGGCCTTTAAAACATAGGATGTACTATATCGACCCCTTCAACTACCTGATGAGTTCCCTGCTCGTATTTACCACGTGGGATAAGCCCGTTCATTGCACACCACATGAACTGGCCGTATTTGATCCGGCTCCCAATCAAACCTGTGGTGAGTACCTCGATGTGTATCAACGCAGCAGCATAGGGATGGCTGCGAACCTCCTTAATCCACATGCCACTGCAGCTTGTCACGTCTGCCAATATACTGAGGGTGGAGATTACCTTCGCACACTGAACCTCGCAGAAGGGTATTTTGGCTGGAGGAATGCCGGTATTGTTGTTGTGTTTGTGATTGGTATCTATGGACTAGTGTTCCTCATGATGAAACTCCGGACTAAGGCTACCAAGAAGGCTGAGTCTTAGAATAGGCAGATGATCAGAACGAAAATTATTAATAGTCTACTAGTTAGTACCTATAGCCAGTGGATGTTTCATCAGTGGATTGATCTGGGACCAGTTCAACAAAGGGTGGTGAGGACTACTACCTAACAAAGATCATCATTAATTCCTTCCCAATGGGGGGTGAAAAGGGCAATACCAAAGGAAGTATACTTGTGTCAAGTTGTGACTTATTGTCAGCTATACTAAAATGATGCGGTACATTGCATTGTAAAACTGATCTTTGTGTGATCAATCTCGATCTTTAAATTATTGTCAAATTCTTGCTCCTCATGGATAGTACCCTGAGGGCTTAATGGTAGGCCAAAGTTACGAAGCATATATGGAGATAGGTGCCAAATTAAGTTGAATATGTGCACGAGATCTCCATCCTTTTCATCCCCTCTAGAGCTGCGCGGTAACCTCAACAGCAAGAGCAGACGAGATATTGAGATATGCCGAAGCGTCATATGTCGTTAATGTACGGGTATAATGACCCAGTATTATGTTTTTTTTTCTACATATACCAATGAATACCCAGTTCTGGGCAAATGCCGTGGGTTATTCAATATCCAGACGCTATCGAACCTCTGTTTCATGGAGGCAGCCCATGCAAGACGATATTGGGTTAAGTTGGTTTATGCCTCCCAGTCACAGCTCAAATATCTCTAGAAGGAATGTGCAATACCAAGCCACATTATCCATAGCTGCAGCATATGGGATAGTTGGTCATCGACTGTGCTCTGGTACAAGCAAGTACTGCTAACAAGAGTCCCTTCGTAGGTCGACAGAAAGCTGGATTTTTTGATACGGAGTATTGCTTTCCGATCATACTCGTTCTATGTATTGGAGACTGATTCTATGCAAACCTCCAGTTTCATATGAAAGAGGCGTTATACCGAGCAAAATACGAATACATGGAATAGAATCCATATACTTCGAGAAGTAACCAGAGAACAGAAAAAGACGAAGAAAGATAGGGCAGCAACCCGACTAAACCCGACCGAGGCCAAAACGATGGTGTCATCGGAAGCGAGCCCCACCGGAGCCAAACAGAAGGCGAGTCATCCCAAACGCCGGCAGATTTTCGATCTGATAAGCGGCCAAAATTTCGCCTCACTCCGATCTTCCCTCTTTCCTTCTCCTCACTACTTACTATAAACCAGGTGAAGCGCATCGCAAGTTTCTACTTTTCGTTTCGCCACTTCCATCTCATCTCAAAACACCCACAGATTCAAACGAAACTCGTCACCAAATTACAATTCCCCGAGATTTCCACTCCCAACCCACAGCCAGAGCCAACGCCAAAGGCCCGCCCCCAAACCCCGCAGAAAGAGAGGAGTCAAAGCAAAGAATCAAAAAGTCAAGATGTCAACCCTAATTGAAATTCCCTCCGAGGAAGAATTCGCCTCTCACATCAAATCCCTGCCCCCGACAACCCTATCGATTCTCTACTTCCACGCCCCTTGGGCCGCGCCCTGCGCGCAAATGCGCGCTGTGCTCTCCGCCCTCGCATCTCAATACCCCGCCACAACACCCCCAACAACCTCCTTCATCAGCATCAACGCCGAAGAACTCCCCGACATTTCCGAAGACTACGACGTCACTGCCGTCCCCTTCGTAGTCCTTACCCGCAACGGCGAAGTCCTCGAATCCATCTCCGGCAGCGAAGCCACCCGCGTCCGTGACGCCGTCGAACGCCACGCCGGCTCAAAAGCCTCCACCGGCACGTCCGCCACAATCCCCCCGCCGTTGGCCGCTGTGCCCCGCGAGACGGGCCCCACGACGGCTACACAGCCGCCGGCCGGTGCTGCGAACGGGGATGCGCTAACGCAGGAGCAGTCGAAGGAGGCGCTATTTGCGCGACTCGCGGAGCTGGTGAAGGCGGCGCCGGTGATGCTGTTTATGAAAGGGACGCCGAGTGCGCCGCAGTGTGGGTTCAGTAAGCAGCTTGTGGCGATTCTGCGTGAGAGAAGTGTTAAGTATGGGTTCTTTAATATCTTGGCCGATGAGGATGTGAGGCAGGGGTTGAAGGAGTTTGCGGAGTGGCCTACGTTCCCGCAATTGTGGGTTAGTGGGGAATTGGTTGGAGGTTTGGATATTGTGAGTTCTTCTTTCTTTCTTTCTTTCTCTTTTTTTTTTTTTTTTCCCC